AAAAAAAAAAAACATCAAGCGCGTTCACGTGCGACGAGTGGGCTCACATGTGCTTGGTGGTTGAGCCTAAAGAGTGTGGAGCATAAGGATGGGGTTGGGGATAGCTGACATCTGGTTACATGTCCCAAGCTAAGTTCAAGAGCATAGGTGCAGTCACCAGCATCTGGCTCCCTGAGCTTGGTCTGGATGTCCTATGGCAGACTGATGTTCAAATGACAGCGCTTATGACGATGTCAGCAATGTCAATCACTCCAAACTTGACCAGCTTGTAAGGGGCGATTGATTGCTGTAGCAGGGGCTTGTGTCACTTTGATTTGAGGCTGCACATTGGGTGCCTTGTCTCTATGCTGGTCAGAAACCATAGAGCATCATCTCAGGGCTGAATGTCCAGCAACATCTTGACCAAAGTGCAAGCCGGATATTGCAGATGCAGATGCAGTGTCATTGGCTTTGCAGCTTTTAGAGGGGAAGCTGTTCGTTTGCGCCAAGCTGTTGTGGACTATTGGACTCTACTCTGGCAGAAGTATTACTAGGGGCGGTCGCTGTAGTCATGCCAGGAAGAGCTAGTTTTCCTCACACTTTAGAAGGTGCAAGGAGGGTTGACATTGGAATGGCTGCTGATGCTTCCGGAATGACCAGCTTGCCGACCTCAAGTCTGATTGGTCACCCATCACAGGCTCTTCCTGAGGTTTTGCCCTGCTCTCAGCCTCGTGCAATGTCATGTGGCATCCCAGTGCACCTGCCAAGCTGCTGTCAACCGTGAGCTTGACAAAGACAGCGTTTTGATCAAGAGGCACGTTGGAAGAGTGTCGTTTGACATGCTCTTGAAAATCTTTCCCTTGGCAACGCTTGTGGAGAGCAACTCTTGCAAACTACTTGGAGAAAGCAACTCCTGCAAACCACTTGGAGAGGGGTCTTGATCGAGGCGCATGTTGGAGTTGGGAACGTGCCGTTGGACGCATCTTTGAAATTCTTCTTCTCAGAAGCGCAAGTAGAAAGCGATTCCTGCGATTCATCTGGAGGGAGAGCCTCAAAAGAGGCGCACGTTGGAGGTGTGTCCTTTGACACGCAAATGGGGAGCAACTGCTCCAAAATACATTTGGGAGGAGCTTGCTGATAGTGCAAAGTGCGCAAGCTCAAGGAAGGTGCAGAGGGCGCATGGTCAGCCATTTTTGCGGGCTTGACAACTATGATTGGCTTAGCATTCTTGATGGGCTTGGCAATTTTGATGGGCTTCTTCACCATCTTTGGCTGAAGGAGGCAACAAGGAGGGACCAGATAATGGAGTCAGTCACTCCCTGCCTCCGGCAAAGCTAGGCTCACATGAGTTGTTGAGCCCAGCTCAACATCAACAATGGTTCTCAAGGTGAGCGACACTCTGCCATTTTTGCAGCAAAGCAACACAAGAAGGACCTGGCGCATGCAAAACAGCCGGTCACTCGTTCGGGATTGCCTAGATTTGCCCTCTTGCTTGGCTGGAAATCTGCTTTAGCTCTTCCAGCTGCTGTCCAGCGCCTGATCAGCTGGTGACAGCTGACAGAGCTTAGACACGCTTGAACGACTATTAGCCAAGTCTACTATCCAGAGCGGTGTCTAAGGACTGGGTACTGAGAGAAAACAATCTGTGCGACGGGTGCGATACACGCGCTCAGCCCCAATTCAACAGTGAAGCTGACCGATTAAGGGGATGAAGGTGAGAGGTGTTCTGGTTGTTGGGATACAGATGTCATGGTTGATCATAGAGCAGTTCATCGCAGACAACCAAAGGCTTGAAGGATGGATGAGGATAAGTTTGGCCGGTTGTGAGGGGTGATAAAGGATTTGCAGTTGATGGGGAAGCTTTTGCGGCCGATGAAATAGAGAGGTCGAGGACATTGAGGGAGCATCTCATCGCAAAGGACCTGAAGGATTGAAGAATGGATGTGAACGATTGTGGCTGGTTGTGAAGGGCTTGGAAGACTCACTGTTGATGATGAAAGTCTTCTTTTCGAGCAGCAAGGTCCAGCGGTTGACCGATCAGGAAGCGAGACCGTCAAGGAATTGCTCGAGATGCTGGTCATTCTGACGGTCTTCCAACCCTTCCTGATCGTCGAATACGTTCTGATAGGAGAACTAGTCCGCAAAGTCAGCTAGGCAGGTGGATGCCTCGCGGCATTGATGCCTAGACTCACATCCTCGCCAAGCTCGCTCAGCAGACTCTGATTAGCTTCCATCTCGCCATGAACCAGCTCGGGCAGCCATACTGCCCCGTGCTGCGCCGCTTTCAGCTCCACAATCTCCATCTCGAGAGCTTGGATTTTTCCTGTGCGTCACCAAATTCTCCTTGCTTCTCCAGCAACCATCGCTCTACCATGTCCCGCGCTTCCTCAGCATCAAGCAACTCCGCCTCCGATCTGAGCTTCTCGTCCTTGACAGCCTTCTTGCACATTTTGATCCGCTCCTGGTAGAGCTGCTCTGACCTGTCAAAGAAGTCCGCCCTCTCCTTATCGACTTGCTCAAGACCTTTGATGCGGTCCTTTTGCGTGGCAAGAAGCTTTTCCAAGCGTGAAATGTTGGCCTTATCCTCCGCAGAAGCGCTGGACAGAGCAGTGTTCTGGACGGCAAGCTGGCCTTTGTCTTCCCAAAGAGCCAACTTCTCGCCCATCACCTTCCAGACGCATGCCTCTTTCTCCGCTAGCAGACACTTGTAGTACGCGGCTTGGTCGTTCCAAGCCCCTGCATTGTTGGAGCTGCTTGGGCTTGGTCAAGGCTGTGCTCGCTTGTGCGCCTTG